ATCATCCACAATAACCAAAAGCGCTCCGTCGATGGGTGAGAAGATGAACAAGATGCCTCATGTAGATGCAACACAGAAAGGAAGGAAACGCTCTCACATGCTGTAACACAGACGCACCCTGAGGATGGATGCTGGGGGAAGCACGCCAAGCACCACCAGACAAGTACCATACGGCACTACTTACAGGAAACTCCCAGAGTAGACACATCCACGGGACACAAAGTAGAAGCAGAAACTCAGAAACTGCCGGCGGCGGGGGGTGGGGGTGGGGGGGGTAGGCTTGTGTTTAATGGAGGCAGAGTTGTCCTTTTGGGAAGATGAAAAAAAGTTCTGGAGAACGGAGGGTGGTGGGGGTTACACGAGCATGTGAATGCTGGACGCTTAGAAATGGTTAAAATGGTGAATTTTATGTATGTTTTCCCATAATAAAAGTGTCTAATAACAGTACTTACCTTGCAACATGCTTGGGGAACCTGGGGCACACGCCATGGAGGGCCCCCATAAACAGACCCGGTCTCTGGCCTCCCCGCTCCAGGTGCCCGACCTTCCACTTACGGATGGAGCGCAGAAGGGGCAGGAGCTCCACTGAGGAACACTCTTCTGCCCTCGCTGTTCCAAGGCTGGTTTTCCTAGAAAGCGGGGCAGTGCCGAGGGCGTGGTGTGAGCGAGCCTGGCCCAGAGCCCGGGGCCCTCAGTACGCCAGCCTCCCTCCAAACACTGACCACACGAGTCTGCCACCCCCGGGTTCTGCAGCTGACTCCCCCCTCTGAGCTGGGAACCCCTTCTCTGTGGAGAGCCCCCCCTTCAGGGCTCAGGGACCACCTACCTCCCAGGACCGGTGACCCGGCAGCAGCCCCGAGGTGGGGAAACCAAGCCCAAGGGACCAGATTCGAGGGCATGTTTCCTACCGTCAGAGTCGGGACCAGCCTTCCTCGTCACCATTGCAGAAGTTGCAAGCTGAGACCCCTCCCAGGTGTCATCTGCTCGTCACCAGAGAACCACCGAGTGTGGCTCCTGCCGGGCCCGGGGCTCGGTCCCCGAGGGGCTGAGGGAACACCTCACAGAAACAAGCATTTCCACACACATTAAGGGATGGCACGTCCTTTTATAAAATATTTATTCTAAAAAAATCACACTGTACAAATTTAGATAGAACATTCTCAATGCTCCTATTTATAAAAACGTGAACATAACAGACTGGAGTGAACCAACAAACTTTTGCGGCTGTTTTCTTTTTAAATTAGGCCGGAAAAAAGTGTTTTTCCAAGTACAGTGACAGAAAACGTGTCGAAGGCGCCCAAGAACCAGCCGATGAAAAGCGTACCGTTCCCCTGCCGCTCCCAGAGCTCACGCTCTCCCAGTGGGGTCTGACCCCACACACACAGGACAGGCGTTCCCACGGGGCGAGGGAGGCCTTGCTGACCCGCGTCAGCCGCTCGCTGAGCCCCCAGAGCCGAAGTTTGTGCTGAGAGAAAAGCCAGCACGATTTGCTCATAATTTCCTGTTTCTCTAACAAAGTGGGTTTTCCGTACACCTGTTATAAAGTCTGTACAAAAGCACAAAGCTCCTGTGAGGTGTTACTTCTGAGTTAAAAATGGACGACAGAGAACCGTCTTCTACAGTTGAAGCTGTACATTCACACAGAGGGAGAAACACGGTAAAAAATCCACGAAGCAATTCCAGGCCGGGGAATCCTGGTTTCTGGAAGGGGACCGCAGAAGCTCGGACGTCTGCGCTCTGCCCTTGCTGACGGCCCGGCCCCCGTCCCGGGCGGGCGGCGCCCCTCGGGCCACGTCTCCCGCTGCCGCGCGAGCCCAGGCCGAGGGCCCTCACAGCCAGGGGTGCCAGGCGGGGTCCATGCGGCACAGGTTGTCCAGGCTGTTGGCGGCGGCCACCAGCGTGTTCACTTTGCTCTCCCCGCCTTCGAACTGGGCCAGGTTGTGCAGGCGGGTCATGATGGCCGTGACCGCTTTCTGCACCAGGGACACCAGCTGCTGGCTGTCCATGTTCTCAGGCTGCCCAGCGGCCGAGAGTGGAGAGGAGGTGTCCTCCTGCGTTTTTTTGTGCCAAGCGATGATCTCGTCCCGAAGCACCGTTTTCAGAATGCCGTCCACCTGCAAGAGGAGAGAAGAAAATGGTGCTGGCTGATCCAAGCACAACCCGGAGGGGCGGCTTCCTGACGAGGCTGGGCCTGGCCACGGCAGGCCACAGTGCCCAGGGCCTCGTCGATGCACCAGGGAAGCCGCCTGGGGTCCAGCAGTGGCCGGCCACAAGGCACAGCTTTTTGGTCTGAGCAGGGCACGCGGGTCCCATGGCACCTGCTGCTGACACACTGCTTCCTGGTGCCAAATGTCTGCTTCACTCCACGCATCTGAGCACCTGTCGAGGGCCTGTTCCCGGCACTGCAGCCAAGAGTGAACAAAACAGAAACCCCAACAGCCCCTTGCCCTTAGGGGGCTTTGCTCCTGACAAAGACATGCCCGACATTCCCTGTGGTGATGGGTACTGAGCAGAAACAGCAGCTGAGCCGGGCTCGGAGCGGTTCTGGGGGAGGGCGGGGTTGCTGGTGACGAGGTCACATTGGGGTGAGACAGGAAGGAGTCAAGGACGCAAGGCATGTAGCTGTCACACGACCTGTTTCTCGGGCCAAGGAGAGCCACCCTGGGCCTCCGCGTGGCCACAGCAGACTCTGGGCTCTAGCCCCAGCTCCACCACTTCTGGCCTGGGTGGCCTTGGGAGAGTTACTTTGCCCTCTGTGCCTCAGTTTCCCCATTTATACACAGGGCATAGTAATAGAGCCTCCCAAAGGTATTTTTAGAAGAGATTCCCATACAAAATGGTCTACGTTTTAGCCAACCTACTGGCATTCTCTACATTTAGGCTGTTAGGAAATTTGGGTCCAGAGTTTGGAGACAGTCTGATTCCTTCCCATCTACGCTGCACTGTCTACACAAAGAGGAATGCATGGCATTATCCAAGTTGTAACAGGCCTTTGAAATATGGGGAGCCGCCTTCATTCTTTTTAGTTTCCAAATAGATGCCATTCTAAGGACTGCCCTATGATTGCTCCCAGGAGTGTAACATTTCAATCTACGTGAGGACTTCCTATTTCAAGCCTTATGCCGCAGGTAGGTGACCGTGAACTCGCTGCATCAGAGCACAGACTGCTCCTCACGGAGAAATCCCGGGGCTATTTTTACTCATGTTCATACTCATGCTTTCCCCAAAAAGCACTCCCCACTGATGGACACGTGCAACCGAGCACTGAAAAGCACAAGACGTGTATAACGTAAAGTCTGTGTTCCCAGTTAAACAGTTAGCTAATAATTTTAAAATTTCTCTGAGTAAACGCTTTTGGAAATCGATAGGTATCTGAAGTCCTCTTGAGACACAAACTGCTCATCAGTGGAAAAAAAGAAAAAAGAAAAGAGGCACAAGTGATCTCTCCAGTTAAAAGGAAAGTAACTTGCGTTCAGTCCCCAGTTGTGAGGAGAGAATTACTCCGGTGGTGAAGACAGGCTGGGAGTCAGCGTGAACTGGATTCGAATCCCGGCCTGTCCTCCCCACTGGCCTGAGCGCCTTCCCTGCCCTCACTCCCCATCTGTACGGCCTCCCGGAGCATCTGACGGGAAGCCGCCCAGCAACCAGGGACGGGCGGCCGGGGGAAGGCACCGGGGCCCCTGGCCTGTCACCGCGACAGAGCCGCCCCATGGCTTCCTGTGGCCGAAGGTGTCCTGGGACTCCAGGGTGTGCCTTGCACGTCACAGCCCTTTAGGCCCCGTAACCACAGTGCGAGTAAGATGGGTGCCATCCTGCGGACAACACCTCTGCCCTTTTATTTTTAAGTAATCTCCACGCCCAGCGTGGGGCTCGAACTTGCCACCCGGAGATCAGGGGTCGCAAGCTCTACTCATGGAGCCAGCCAGGCGCCCGTCTTCCACCCTTTTATAGCGGAAAGATTTATATACACGCAAAACGGAAGGCAGCTATGAAACCAAGTAAACAAAACCGATGAGCAACAGTCATCGCTGGGAAAATCATCCAATAGAGGCTTCCAAGTCCTTTGTGTAAAACTGGTTCCTCAACATCCTAAATGCTTTCAGACAACAAACATTTTGAAACACTTTTTCCAGAAAGCAGCAGCTTGAATTGCGCAGCAACAATGGGCTTTCTCCCCGCTTACTAGCCGACCAGCAGCCTGTAGGCCGCGTGGTGTTTGAGCGACCCCGTGTGCGGTGCACCAGCCATTGTGGCCTACCTTGAAGTTGGGCTGGGCGAAGCACCGGGCCACGGCGATCATGGAGGCCGTCAATGGGCCGGAGACGCCGATGGTGGTCAGGAATTCGGAAATGTTGGGGGTGAGGCGGAAAGGGACGGGGCGGTTGGCATCCAAGTCTCCGGTTGCGTCGTTTATATCAAACCGAAAGTAGGCCACATTCAGTTTGCCAGTGTCCTAAACACCAGAAGGAGACAGTCTCAGAACTCACACAGCACGATGCAGATGCTGAAGGAGAGGCTCTGCCTGGTGACACCCAATTACCTGAGCGATCTGTAACATCTCGGGGTTGAGTCTATTCAAATGCAAGACGAATTCTGCAAAGCCAATGAGTGCAAGCTGGATGGTGAACATCTTCCGGAACGTCCAGTAGTCCGTGGCGTTGGGGAACGTGTGCAGAGCCCACTCTTTCAGCATGCTGCGTGGCACCATGTTACTCTGAACTTCTTTGAGGATGTCTCGAAGGACCTGAAATGATATATCACTCCACCATAGCTTCCCTCAAACTTGTTTTTTTTCAAAAGGAAAACTTTCAAATTGTAATTTTGTACTTACTTGGCACCAACAGAGTGAATTCTGTTGACAAATACATATGTGATGTCGTTTGACTAAACAAGGGGATGTCAATTTTCCTCTAGGGCTCAGGTCGTATGCTTAAAGCAACAAGAGAGCCATCGAATAAAAGCCTTAGCTGCACGATGTGTGGTATTTGTTTTACCAAGAATTTAGATAAAATCCGAACACTGTAACTTGTTAACTACAGGATATACTAGACCACTTTACAAAAAGAACAAACGAATAGTTGGATACCAACACTTCACACCTAAGACTACTAAAAACAAAAGTCTTATAAACTGAAGGAGCTAGTTTCTTAAAGCAGAGCAGATGTTACACAACACTTCACACTGAATTTCAGTGTTTCAAACACCACAAATTCAGAGACAGTCTCAGTAAAAACTTTAACTAGAGTTAATTTCGTTCTTGTTAGACCAAATGGTAAAGGCACAGGTCTATTCTGGGCTAAGTTCTACCCATAGAGAAGCCACTAGAATGCAGGCCCTAAGCAACCAAGAACCACGCAGACCATCAAGAACACTAGCACAAATCATAAAAATAAACTTAAAAAAAAAACCAAACAAAACATTTTCATATAAACTTTGGAAAATTTTTTAAATTCTGGAAATTAAAGGCTTACAACAATCTGAGTAGCTTTTAGTCAAGAAAGAAAGGCTGAATCTTAGTGACAGTGAGCTTTGCAGCAGTTTAATTACACTATTCCCCTCCCCTTTTACCCACCTCCACACTGGCCTTGAAAACCAACAACTTTGCAACCATGGCAGCTGTAGAAACCGGCAGCCTAACAGCCACTGGCATGGGCAAATGTGTTTAGTGAGCCCCCCAAAACCTCATCTCCAGAGAATTATCACTATTTAACTGGTCGCTTCCTAAAAAAAGCCCCATTCATTGGGCTTGTCTGTTGGACTGAACTCAGAGTTCAGTCAGTGAGGAGCATCCTATTTCAACTGAAGAGCATTTGCTGAAAACAATCAGTGACAACCATTTAATGCTGCAGATGCCCAAGGCAGTGATACCAGCTGGAGCACAAAAGATGAGGGCAAACAAGAGGAAGAGCTAGGGAATGAGACGACCACAAGAGGCTTTGAAGAGCTTCAACATATTCCTAAGAATCTAGAAGATCACTTGTATGCTCATGAGAAACCTCAGAAAGCCCTATGCTCTCACATGTGGTTGACCGTGAGACTACATAAACAGGAAGTGAAAGCTAAGGCAGAGATGTAAATTACTTGGACATGTTGAAGGCACCCCCTCACCACACAAAGAGGCCCTCAAAAAGGGGGAAAACGTACTGCTTCAAGGAATTTAAGAAAATCTCTGTCAAATCATTAGCTAGCTGAGCAGAGATTTCAATGGCTGCACATGACAAAAACAGACTTTACAAATTAGTCCAGGAAAGTCACTATAAACAAACAGCAACAACAACAAGCCTTGGGGAAAATTATCTCATTTCTAGAGTTGTCACCTATTATTAAAAATATCAATTTCTCAACAAAAAATCATGAGAAAAGCGAAGTAACAGAAAAACATAGCCAATACACAGTAAATAAAGTGAAATCACTTACATCCAGAACATACAACGAATTCTTAGAATCAATAATAGAAAGACAAATCATGTAATTTAAAAATGAGCAAAGGACTTGAATAGACATTCTCCAAAGAAAATATGCAAATAGCCAATTAGCACATGAAAAGCTGCTCAGTATCACTTGTTATCAACCAAAATGAATGAGAATGACTATAACCGAGAAGAATAATAACTGCTGGCAAGAACGCAGAGAAAAGAGAACCCTCATACACTGCAATCACCTGGGAAAACAGTTTGGCAGTTGATATAATGTTAAACATAAAACTTACCATGTGACCCATCAATTCTACTCCTAGGTATATGTCCAAGAGAAACGAAAACATACGTCTACACAAAAACATACACACGAATGTTCACGGTCATTAGCACTGGTCATAAGTCAAAAAGTATAAATAATCCAAAAGCCCATCAACAGACAAACAGATAAATTAAACGTGGTATAGTCACACAAGGGGATATTATTAAGCAATAAAAAGGAACAGACTACTGATACATGCTATAAAATGGGTAAACCAGGAAAACGTTATGCTAAGTGAAAGTGAGCCACAAAAGAGCACCTATTGGGCGCCTGGGTGGCTCAGTTGGTTAAGCGACTACCTTCGGCTCAGGTCATGATCCCACGGTCCTGGGATTAAGTCCCGCATCGGGATCCCTGCTCAGCAGGGAGTCTGCCTCTCCCCCTCTGACCCTCCCCCTCTCATGCTCTCTATCTCATTCTCTCTCTCAAATAAATAAAATCTTTAAAAACAACAAAAAAAAGAGCACCTATTGTAGAATTCCTTTTGTATCATAATGAAGAATAAGCACATTCACGAGACCGAGAGATTCGTGGTTTCCAATGTCAGGGGGCAGAGAAGAATAGGGAGTACAGGTAATGGGTATGAGGCTTCTTTTTGGGGTGATGAAATGTTTTAATTTTTTTTTCTTAAATAAGCTCCACGCCCAATGTGGGGCTTGAACTCCTGACCCTGAGCTCAAGAGTCACACGCTCTACTGACTGAGACAGCCAGGCGCCCCTGGGGTGGTGTCAACTGCACAACTCTGTGAATATACTGAAAACGCTGAATTGTACATTTTATTGTATTTGGGGGGGTGGAGAAGGAGAGACAGAATCTTAAGCAGGCTCCACGCCCAGCACGGAGCCTGATGTGGGGCTCAGTCTATCAACCCTGAGATCATGATCTGAAAAGAAATCAAGAGCTGGATGCTTAACCAACTGAGCCACTCAGGGACTCCTGAACTGTACATTTTAAAGGGTGAATTTTCTGGCAAGTAAATGATGTCTCAATAAAGGTATTAAAAAAAAAGCAAAGGATGAAGACGCAGCGTTAGTAAGGAAACAAGCTAGGGTACAAAGAGTAAGGGGCCATGAGACTGGCCTGTTCTGTACTGTTGCCAGCATCTCAGGCTGGCCCAACAGGACCCCACATGGTCTCTAAGCTGAACCAACCATCACCTTCATCAGTCACACGGCCGACTGTAAAACACTAGGAGACCCTCATGTCAGCAAATATTCGCAAATGGAGGTCATCAGTTTCCACAGTCAAAGGCAAATGCCGCCAAGAATACGACCCATTCATCTCCCACAAACACGTCAGAACTGTCCTTGGTCCACAGAGTGACCAGGCAGTGGCCTGGGACCTGATGAAGCTGTGACGCCAGTTCCCAAGGGAGGCCACAAGCTCTGTAGACAGAGGGACTGCATGCACGCAGGAAGCTGCACCAGACCCCAAGGCCTGGACTGCCTCAGGCCCTGCCTGTGCCCTGAACACTGCCTAGGCGGGCAAGACGAGCACCTTGTGGGCGCCATCTTGCTAAAAACGAAGTCTCCCAGGTCTCGGACTAACTGAAATGCTGACATGAGGATCCCCTAGTGTTTTATAAACAGCAGTGTGACTGATGAAGGTGATGGATGGTTCAGCTTAGAGACCGTGTGCGTGGGGTCCTGCTGGGCCAGCTAGACCTGGACGGATGGAGACAAGGACACAGCTTCCAGCTCCATGGCATCTCGCCCAGAAACTGCGAGGCCTTCTCGGAAGGCACAGGAATGACCACAGTGGCGTCTGGGGAGCAGGCCAGGAGAGCTGCCTCTTGGTGATGCACATGATCCCGTACAAAACCTCCTCATCCAGACCCCACACCTCCCCTACTTCCTGCCAAAGGCAGCAATCTGCAGGCGGGGAGGGCCCTCCGTCCAGGCCTCCTGTGGCAGGCACTATTGCTCCCTGCCAAGCGAGTTTCACCTCCCGACACAGTTGGGCCGACATGTCTCAGCGCTCACCGCTTTCTGTATTTTAGGAAGTGTTTATGGTACAGACACCGCACGTTACCTAATGCCCCAGCAGCAAACCCGATGAACGGACTACGCAGTGGATAAATAGCCTCATGTCCCTTTGACCAAGTTTGGCCGCCAAATGAGCTTCCCCTGAAGTTGCTCTGCAGCAAATGTCACTTCATTAGGGTCCGAGGCCACCTAATTTCTACCACCTCATGAGGCCAAGGAGGGAAAAAGGTACCTCTCGGCTGCCCGCGAGGCTGTAGGTGGCAGCTAGCGCTCCCAACCGCCCCGATTCGGTACCTGGTGGCTGGCCTGGGTCCCGCGTGCCTGCACCGTGGCCAGCCTGTCATAGTACCGGGAGATGGGGTTGTCGTGCTCAATGCCCTTCTTGGCACAGCGCTGCTTGTAGATCTCCACGAGGGAAAGAGAAGAGGGGTTGTCCTCCACGAGGCGCATCTGTGGGGACACCGCCACCACACGCGGAACTGGGGAGAAAGGAGAAGGCAATGGGAGCAGCCCGAGAGAACACGCCGGGGCAGCGCTCGAGCCCACTTCCAGGGCTGTCCCCGCTGCAGCTCACTCAGCCCTTGGTGAGCAGAGGACGCGGGGCAAGTCGGAAGTCACACACCGAGTCCTAACTCGGCACATGGCAGGAAGCCCGACCTCCTGGGTGACGGAGCCTGAGCTGCCATCACCTTGTGATTAAGACACAGGGGAACAGAAATTCTTTAGAAAGCCATCTTCAAAAAACCTAGAGACTCTGCCAACGGTTCACTCTTTAGAGGCCCTCCTTCACCGGGGTTCTATCAGCAGAGTTCAATCGTCCCCCTCACTCCACGGTGCCCGTCGAGTGTGGTTACGTTAACCTGCCTTCCAGTGTCGGCATGGCTGGCCCCCATCTTGGGGAAATTAGGAAAATGCTCCAGTCCTTTTCTGTGTTCTGTGGTTCAGTGACGGGAAGCTCCCAGAGTGAATCTGATCATTCCACCCAGTTACGTCGTGGAGCTGTACTGAGAGTGAGGCACATTTGGGACCCCGATGACCACTCTTGCACTGGACATGCCTTTTATGAAGCGGTTCATCTCACATGCTGATAACCTCCATTGGGACCGCACTTAACTAGAAAGTGCCGGGCGTGCCCGCCCTGGAGCCAGACAGCCCGCACTCACATCCCAAGTCTGTTTTCCCAGTGATGTGACCTCGGGAATGGTCACTGGACGGCTATGAACTTCAGTTTCTTCATCTATAAATAAAAGTATAACACGTACCCCATAGGGTTGCTGGCAGACTAAATAATACTTTAAAGATATTAGATCAAGGTAATATTACTAAGACTTTTTTTCTAAGTAAGCTCTATGCCCAGTGTGGGGCTTGAACTCATGACTCCAAGATCAAGAGTCATATGCTCTACCGACTGAGCCAGCCAGGTGCCCCTGAAGACATTTTGTTGAAGATATTTTGTAGAAAGCTGAGAAATGTCCTGAAGATAGCAAAGAAGGTAGCGAAATCAAGCTTGTCCAGCATGGGGTCACAGCAGCGAGCTGCCCGGGTGCTGCTGAGTGGTCCAGCGGAAGCTGTGGAGTCCCTGTGCCAGCACCAGCCTGTCCCTAGGCCGTTCTGACTGCCTGCACCCACGCTGGGCGTTCACGTGATTCTGGCTTCTAATGAGCCAGAGTGGATTCGGCCTAATGTCCGTTAAAGCACGACTACTAGCTTGCTGCCAAGACGTCACCCCACCAAGAAATTCCACAGTGACTCGAGGGCACTTATCTGAACTGTCGTTTGATGCTGACCAAGAGTTTGTTTCTTTGGAAAAAACAAAGAACCATCTACTGCCCCCAGATGTGATCCACGCTATAAATCCCATTACATACATGTTAACACGCATACGGTTTTCTATGGACTTGTTTTTGAGATCTACTTCTTCCTTTGGGGATGTTGAACTTAAGGGTAAGAGATTTTAGGTCAAAATGGGTTGGATTCTTAGTGGTCAGAAGAAAGCTCCATACGGGACTAGGTAACGTGCATTGCAATGGGCTCTTAACCTCAGAGATTAGATGCTAAACTGTTTTAAGTGGTTCTCTTCTCTGAATGGGATGACAGCTCACCCCTGCCCCCATTACAGACAGAAATGGGTCACTCACGAATCACCCACAAGTTGGTATGGAAACCCCTTACTCAGAGGCTGCTGGTCGCCGCATGACCAAGATTTCTAGGGCCTTCACGGGGCTTCTCGACTCTCCCTTGCGCTGCATTTCCCGCCGGGAAGGCACGTTCCGGCCGTGGCCACTCGGTGCAGTGTAAGCTCCAGGAGTCTGTCAACAAGCTCACACCACGGCCTGTGCTGAGCCCACGTTTCACCAGAGCACGGACGGACTCCCGGGCAGGGACAAACAGCCGTGGGCGCAGACACGGCAGTCCCTTTGCCAAACCAATACCCATGAGACACTCGTCTAGCAGCAAGGAGCCTAACGGCTGGGGAGTGGCTTCTTCTGGGAGCAGGGCCCTCATTCCAGAGCCTTTCCTGCTTGGTGTGCGTTGGGGCACTCTCAGCTCCCAGGAGACGGCACACGAGAAAACCCGCAAAGGCTGATGGGAGTGGCCGTGTACCCCAAAGGGCACCTCTCCTACCTGTGAAAAATAAGTGCCTCTTTGTGGTTTCCTTCCTCTTCTCCAGACAGGGGTTCAGCAGACGGAGCAGCTGCAATACGCGCTCCTCTCGCCGGGACTCGGTCAGGCAGGCGTCGTTCATGACGAGGTACGGGTAGATCTTGCCGTTGTGGCCGCGGATGTAGAGTCTCCGGGCTGCAGTGTTGTGCTTCTGCACGATCTCCACCCTGGGCATAAACCTACCCAAGCAGGCACACAATGAAACAGCAGCTCCCCGAGCCCTCAATTTCCAGTCCTTTTCTTTGAGAAAAAAAGGGAACTTTACAGGAAGGGCATCCGGAGTTGTCGCGGCCAGACTCCCGCAGGTACAGCCCTCACTCTGACAAGGTATGAATGGCATGACATTCTTCTAGGATGCGGGGAAGACCCCCTGGCAGAGGGGAAACGCAGAAGAGAAGAGGACGCTGCAGTTTTAAAACGATCAGCCACGGGGTCCCTCTTCAGGAGCTCAAGGAGCGCTGCTGATTGGCTCTGAGCACCCCAGCTGCAGAACTGGGGCGGGGGGGTGGGGACAGGTGCCCCGGGAGTGAGCTTGAGGACTACACACCCTCGTCCTCACCTCCCTCCCGTGAGCCAGGGAGCAGGGACGGTTGGCCAGAGGGGAGTCACATCTGGAGGACCAGGAAACCCGATTCTGGATGCACGAGGAAGCAGACTTCTGGGTCTGATTATGACCATTTGTTACAGCACTTCTGACATTTACAGTAAGATATAACATCTACTCTAATAAATCTTACAACTGTCCAATTCTGTTTTGAATACTGAGCTTTAGAAGTTTTATGGACTGGGTGACTTTGTCCAGTTCCGTGGGGATTCAGAAAAGGTTCTTTTAGAAGCAAAAGAAACACAAACTTGACTCAAACAAAACATTTCACCCATCAGTTAGGACAGACCCTTCAAGTGCCTGATTCCTGAAATCCGAGCACAATCTCCCATTCTCCCATTTCAGGGGCAAGGAGAGCATGGCGGTGGGGGGGGAGGGAACGAGCCTGGACGGCTGCACGAGGTCTGCCCTGAGGTCTGTCCCGCGGCGGGCTCGCCCGGGGCGGGGTGTGTTGGCGACTAACTGCCACGCTGGGCTCACTCACCGAGCAATCTTGATGTAATAATGTGTCGGCTTGGGCATCAGAAACTCCCCTGGAATTTCTACTTCCGCTGTCTGTGCTGAGAAATTGCTCAAAAACCGGCACTTCTCTTCTATGAGGAAGAACTTTGGAAGCTGCTTGGTTTTAGCCTCCAGGATTTTGATCCACTTTTTCAACTTAGAAATAAGATTGTGAAGCTTCATGGATCCTGGAACACTGAAGTCAAAATCTTCAAAATAAAAAATAAAATATAATTAAAAACAGTTTTAATCATCTGGGCTATCTGGAATTCACTACAAGATCATGCTCAAAAGCCTCCCAGGTAGGAAACAGGCATGTTTTATTTTACATCTTCTGACCTGGAGCAGAGAACATCTCAGTCCCTGTCACTCTTTAAAGTGTAAGTTGAAACCTGAGTGACTGGTCTACCAACCCCCAGACTGGAGGAGGGAAGGGGTGAACCGCCAGCAGGAAGCCTCACCCCCAGTCACCACAGGTCCCGCGGAACCCTCCGAGCCCACTGGGCCAGCCCTGAAGGTCACTGCCCTCCGCCCACCGGCAGCCCCGCCTGAGAGCAAGCCTCACACCTGGGAACCACGGCCCTGTGCCAAAAGCCAACACAGTAATTAACTTGAGGCTAAGGGAGAAAGAAACCAACCCCGGCGAATACTAAATTATAAATCAGTTCATCAGAAGAAATTAAGGCAAGGCACTTAAGTGACAAAAATGGAAACCATGCCCTTTTCATTTAAGCAATTAAAATACTCCTTATTGCTGTATATCTCAGATTTTACTGAGACTCGGTATTGAAAGGTCAATTAAACTGAAAAGCTCTTCTTTAAAAAAAGCGCCCGTTCCACACAGACGAGCACCAGGGGTCAAAGGGGCTCTGAGTTACTCCAACTTGCTGGAGCCCGAAGGTCAGGATAAGCCGAACCTTCTCTGTTGCAAATGGAGCCCGTGGAAGCCGCGGTCCCCTCGCTGACAAGGGCCGGGATCTGTGACAGGGCAGGGGCTGTTGCACTCAAGCGGAAAGGCTCTGTGGAGCCTCTCGCGGGCGCTCTTCTGCAGACCCAGGTGGTGTGGGGGGAGCCTGGTGCAGACTCCTGCCCCCAGTCCTCACTGCATCCTCCCCACCGCCCCTCCAGGGCTGCAGCAGGCTGGGCCAGGGCCAAATGCAGGGAAAGTGAGCGGGGGTCAACAACGTGCACGTGGAACCAGGGGCCGGCGGAGGCCCCATCAACACCCACACAGCGGCCCAGAGGGGCGGTGGCCATCCGGACGCCAGCGCAACCTCAGCACGCCCAGAAGCACTGCAGTCGAGGTGCTCAACTGTCCATCAGCACAGATACCCACTCTTAGCCCTATGGCTGCACCCGCCTCTGCCCTCAATCCCTAACTCCTGGCCACCACTAACCCATTCTCCACCTCCATCCTGACGTTATTTTACAAATGTTTCCTAAGTAAGGACCACGCAGTAGATGTCCTTTCGAGATTGGTTTTTTGCGCTCAGCATGATGTGAGGTTCATCCAGGTTG